CAGATTTCATAATCATGGAATGCAGTTACTGCAAACAAAATTCAGATAGATTTAAACATAGCAATAGATGAGAAGGTTTCATCGTAGTCTATACCATAAACTTGTCGAAAACCTTTAGCGCCGAGAGAAATTTCACCGGTTGAAAGTGATTCTCACTCAAGCCCTCCTCTTGACTTAACTAGAATCGAGTAAAGACTTCACTGTATTCGGGGACGTGTCACTAAATAGTTTGGGACGTGTCACTAAATAGTTTGGGATGTGTCTCGATGCAAAGAGGGAAGGTTGTGGCCTATGCATCTCGTCAACTCAAGCTTCACGAATGAAAATATTCTACCCATGATTTGGAGCTTGCCACAGTTAGGGGTTTCAAAAATACCTGACTCAGATAACCCAACCCGACCTGATTACTCGATGACCTGAACTAAAAATTGAATAATTATAAAAAAATACTATACTGTACTGGATACTCGACCCGACATTTCTTGAGTCGGGCCTAGGTCACAAAATTACATTTTTCTGGGTACTCGATTACTCGAATACCCGGTTACATTTACTTTTATATATATATAATAATATTACATATTTAATTATTAATAATTATATGCTAAATTAAGCTAACAAAATTTAAAAAAGCCACCTAATGTATGTTTAATAATTAATATAATTTTTGTTTAATAATATAAGTTGTATGCTTTTTTTTAAAACTTAATTATTTAAAAATAATAAAAATATCAAGTACCCGATAACCCGAATTATGGGTACCCGTAAAATTTGGGTACCTGATTATCAGGTTCCTGCAACATCTAGGTCGGGACACGGGCCGACCAATCAACTACTTAAAGACTCAGGTACCCAGAACTTCGGGTTCCCAGATTTGAACACCCCTAGCCGCAATGGTTTTTGTGTTGAAGATTTGGAGGCATTACTTGTTTGGGGAGAAGTGTCTTATCTTTATAGATCACAAGAGCCTTAAGTATCTGCTTACTCAAAAGGAGTTGAACTTAAGACAACGAAGATGGGTAGAGCTGCTAAAGGACTATGATTGTGTAATCAACTACCGTCTGGGTAAAGCGAACGTTGTTGTGGATGCTTTGAGTAGGAAGACCATGATAGAGTTGCGAGCTTTACAATTGTGCCTGATTTTAACTGATTTAGGTTGTTTGTTAGCTGAGTTGAGGGTTGAACCTGAGCTAGTTGGTGAAGTTAAGAGATTGCAAAGTTCAGACGACTGGTTGAAGGCCCGAGTAGAGCAGGTCCTTCGAGATGAGGCCCCATGTTTTGAGTTACGTGATGAGAGCGTATTGTACTTTCGAGGGCGTTTTTGTGTGTCGACAGACAAGTAACTAAATGACAAGATCCTTCACAAAGCGCATTATAGTCCCCTTTCCGTTTACTCGGGTAGCATCAAGATGTACCCAGAGCTTCGGCCATTGTATTGGTGGTCAAGCATGAAGAGAGAAGTGTCTGAGTTTTTTTTTAAGTGCTTGGTGTGTCAAAAACTTGTGGTCATTGTACCAAATTCCCTTAGGATTACTGCAGCTGATTCAGATTTTTCAATGGAAATGGTAGAGAGTGACAATAGACTTTATAATTGGTCTATCGATGACGAGATTTATGATCCAGTATGGGTTATAGTGGACCGATTGACCAAGTCTACTCATTTTTTCCCTATTCGTATGGATTTCATGTTAGAAAGGTTGGCGTAACTGTATATCTGCGAGGTTGTGAGGTTGCATGGAGTTTTTATCTTGATCATATCCGACAAAGATCCATGTTTCACCTTAGACAGATGGACAATCTGAGCATGTTATTCAGATTTTGAAAGACATGCTTAGGTGCACCGTTTTAGATCTTGAAGATAGTTGGGAAAACCATCTGCCTTTGGTGGATTTCACATACAACAATAGTTATCAAGAAAGAATTCAGATGGCTCCATATGAGTACGGACGTAAGTGTAGGACTCCTTTTTGTTGGACGGATCTCAATAAAGGGGAACCAAAGAGAAAGTTCAGTGATTCAGAGTCGATTGAAGGTGGCTTCTGACAGACAAAGGTTGTATGTTAATATGAACCACGAAGATATAAAGTTCAAAGTGGAAGACAAGGTATTCTTAAAGGTTTCCCCAAAAAAAAAGGTACTTCGGCTTGGACGTAAGGGTAAGTTGATCCCACGATTCATAGGGCCATATGAGATATTAGAGAGAGTGAGACCACTGCCTTACCGATTGACTTTGCCTCCAAGCTTGAGCACATCCACAATGTGTTTCACGTATCCATGCTTCAAAGATACTGATCTGATCTGTCTCACGTTATCCCCCTTAAATAAGTTGAAGTGAGGCAAGACCTAACTTACGAGAAAGAACCGATTCTAATCCTTGCTAGAGATGTCAAGGAACTGAGAAACAAGAGAATATCATTAGTGAAGGCTTTGTAGAGGAACAATGGTGCAGAGGATGTAACTTGGTAGCCCGAAGAGGATATGCAACTTTAGTATCTACACCTCTTCTATTTGTGTAAATTTTGAGGATGAAATTTCTTCTTATGATGAGAAAGTTGTAATGCCCCAAGTTTCTGGTTAGGAGTTTCAGGTATTTTTTATTTGGACCTTATAATAATTTCCCTATAGCCCATGAATAGTTAGACTCAACTAGATTTGATTTGGGCCTTAGTTGATCCCAGTAGGTGTCAAAAAGGGTATTTTTAAATATGTTCCTAAAGAGGAGGGACTTAGTGCATAATTGGCCCAAAAATTTAAAACAAGGTTGATTCCCATTAATTGGGATGATATCACCGTTTGTTGCCCATCTCTTTTTCTTCACCATTGTTTGTCTCTTCTTCCTCTCACATTTCTCATCTTGTTCCCTCCCAAGTCAAGTTAAAGGCCCAAGCTTTTTAGTTTTGCAATATTGATTCAGAATTCTAAGTTAAGATTCATAAACTACACCTCCAAGCTTCAAATTAAGCTCTCATTTGCAAGATTTGACCTTTTCCTTCAAAATCAAGTTTTAGTGGGGTTGAGGAAACTAAGGATTTCCAGCTCATTTTTGGGAGATTAAAGTAGATAGAAATGTTTTTTAACTTTGTTCCAAGCATTTCAATTAGTTAGTAACTCATTTAATGTGTCTTAATCAATGAAAGAGGAATATGAGAGTTCCAAAGCAAAAAGCAAAGAGAAATTGGTCCTTAGGTGAGTTAAAGACATTTTTTAGTATCTTGGAGTCAAGGTAACACGATTCTAATTTGTCCATACCATATGTAGGTCGTTAAATGTTTTTGAATGGTATGTTTTGTTCATGAAAGCATGCTAGAGTAGTTTCGTGGTAAAATTCGTATTTGTTGTTTGTAAGCATGAAAAATGCTCCATTTTTTACCTCTAAGACCTCAAATAAGACTTTAATAAGATTTTCTAGTATTAGGGGAGTGAAAGGGGTGAGTTTTAGATGTATTTTCATGCCCAAAATAGGCACTTTAGGTCATCAGTATCAATACTAGAAGAACAGTACCGATATTGTTCTTCGTGAAAGGCTAAAACAAAGGAAAATTATGAATGGGGTATTACTACTTGGGGTCCAGTATCGATACTCAGATGGTAGTTTCGACACCAGTGCCAAGTTTAGGATTCCATAATACAAATTTGGTATCGTTACTCATGGGAGTATCGATACCATCACTGATTTTTGGGCAAATTGGTTCGATTAGTTCTGGGGTTTGAGCTTGGGTGGTTTAACATTGTATAAGCCTAATGTATTTGATACAAGTGAAAATGATTAAAATAAATGAAATCACGCTTATAAATCAAGCAAGATAGGATGACATATGATTGGACTTTATATGACGCTCGGGAAACGGTAAGGACACTAGAGTTGCTCTATCTTTATGACGATCGTCCTCTGTATGTGAAATATCTGGATTTTGTTTGATAGTATGAATCTGATGCACATAAAATTTCAATTTTTACCCCTATGCTCGAATTGGTTTGGGTTGTGAGCTTCTGATGCACGTGAAATTCTAGACATGTTGTCATCTTTTGTAAATTTGGATATGTTGACATGTCGCAGTTATCTTTGTAAACTTGGACATGTAATCTTGTGTAAGTAAACTTGGACACGATGCTGCCATCTATTGTAAGTATACTCGGACATACTACTATCATATTTTGAAAGAAAACTTAGACATATTGCAACCAATATTTGCAAATATAGATATGTTGTCATATTTTATAAACATCTGGAGTTCTTGAAGTTTTAAAATTTGAAGTTATATTAATTATCTTAAATGCCTTCTAATTATGATTTTATTTTTCCTTAATTTTTTTATAACTTAGACATTTGTAAACATTTGCACATTTAAGAATTACAATTTAAGATTTTTATGTCAATTCAAGTTTGAGCCAAAACTCAAGTTCAAGCTTCAACTGAGCTCCCAAAAACATTTCAAGTTAAGTTTTTTTTTAGCTCGAGTCGAGTTTCTATTTTTGATTTCAAGTTCAAGTTGAGCTTGAATATTTGAAACTCGTGAACTTCCGAGTCGAGTTATGATTTAAACTTGTGTTTGAGTTGAGTTTAACAATATTCGAACTTAACTCAGCTCATATGGTCCTAGCTGGTAGCACCTGCATTTTCAATCCAATACAAAAAACAGTAACACCCAATTTTTGGGATCATCGACGGTACAAATTAACACTTGTCCCTCCTGTTCACAGTTATACAGATGCCTTAACAGAGTCAAAGATAACAATTACAACATAATAGCAGTATGATGATTTGTGAAGCAGTGATAGGTGCAAAGTGATATATTCAACATATATTTGATTTATCCACTGTACAAAAACTAAAGTTGATACACTACATTACCCATAGTGTAAGAGAAACTTGTAAATGCAGTCCGCAGACAGACATCACAAAACAAAAAAACGAAACAAAGTTTCGACATGTCCTACACAAAACATACCCATTTTAACAGTGGGGAAGGAGCGGTGACTTTCCAGTGTATTCTCAACACTCACTTATCTGCATTGATTCCAAAGATCCGGACCTTGTGCATGTTGGGGAACTTAGCAATGACGAGCACAAGGACTGCAAGCGTGTTCAGAAAGAGCATAGGATGTTGGTAGTCGGTTGTATGCGATGCTATCAAGTACCTATCAGGAAACCAAAAAAAGCACGGTCAATAAATGCAGGCATTCCTAATGGACCGAGTTCTCAGTTTATCTTGAATATGCAAATACTTCTAATGAAAGTTCCGATAAATCATTTAAAGGCAGGACTTCCTTCATGAATGTCTTATACAAATATAAAGTATCACAATTCACAAATAGTCCCACTCTAAATGATTTGTCCAAATATATCAGTGATCCAAGTCTCCAGAGCTAATTTATTAAAAACGATGAATTGACATAAACATGGTGGTGATCAGTGTAAAAGAGACTTATCTTTTTGAATAAATGCAATTGAAAACCAATTTGCAAATGAGAACATGGATATCTGGACAAACATAAACATACTTGATAGAAATTAAAAGAAAAGCATCATGAATGAGAGGAGACTTTATGCAACTATCAGAACAAAATGGTCATGTTACGGAAACCCAGTTGCATTACAATGGCACAAAGAATGTCATCTATAATTGGGAACAAAAGAAAAGAAAAAGGTTGAATAATCAACATTCAATGCTTGGAATCGAACACTTGTAAACACACAAATGACACAGATACAGCACAAGATAATACGATAAAATCATCAGCAAGTTTCTGAAACTTTGTAAAATTTCATATAAGGAGACTTACAGCACAACAGGTACAACAGTAAGAAACTTCCTATTGCGTGTGAGTTGCTTTCCATTGTCTATCTGCTCCCACCAAGTCAAGCCATTGTAAATCCCTTGATCATCAGCAAATGGGGTTCCTTTCTTCCAGTGAAAGAAGTGGTATGTCACCTGAAAACAGACTGATTCAATGTTGGTCATGAAGGCATGATTTTCAAACAAGTTAACTTCATATCGCAGAATAGAAAATAAAGCAACAGTTAAGCACTCAAGAAGAACTAGGTGCATTTCCAGAATCTTAATTTCGCAGTAGAGATATGTCGGAATGCTATGCTAGGAAAACTCTTTTTTGAATATATGCCACCATATATCTTACACTAAAAAAACTTAATGTTATTGTTCAATAGCTAAAACCCTGATTTCCACGTTTCCTGTTTATAAATCAGAGGCCACAACAACTCAATTCAAGATGGCATGCAAAACTATGGCATGGTCTATCTGATGCTCGTCAAATATCCCCACATAGTCACAATACTACACCATCACTAATAATTTGAGTTCCCAGAAGAGAGCAGGTCTACTACAAGAAATAGATTTGCATTACCAAAATCTTAATTTTAAAAATAGAGACATGTCGGAACTATACCTTAGGAAACAAAATTTTGAATATATGATACCATATATCCTATACTCAAACTTAATGATATTGTTCAATAGCTAAAACCCCGATTTCTTCATTTCCCGTCTATAAATCAGAGGCCACGACAACTAATTTCAATGCAAAATTAATGCTCATAAAAATTCTCCCCATACCACAACATCACTATAATTTCAGTTCCCAGAAGAGAGATGGTCAACCACACAAGGAAATTCAAATCATCAACAATATCTCTATGAAAACTGAGATATATAGACTAATAATAATGCATCAATTCAAACTTACGGAGTACTGTTTAAAAGAAGAATAAGAACGAAAAGATACTAATAACCCACAAAAGAACCAAAAGGGAAAATAGCAATAACATATCGGAAACGGTCATCACAACTCTCAAAATCAAGCTATTCAAAGGCAATTCCAGCATAAGAATAAAATCCATAACAAAAAAAGAGGCTAAATTCCCAGGCATAAAAAGAAACCAAATTGAATTTCAGTACATTAACACAACTAAAATTGCAGAAAAGAAAAAGTAAACGAACGAGGAAGTGAGAGAGATTGACAACGGTCCAGGCCATGCCAGGAGAGCAACCGAAGATTGAGAGAACGAGGAGCCAAGCGAAGAAGAGGATTAGAATATAGGTAGTCCATACCCCTGGGTACATGAACCACTCGGTGTTCCGGTTCAGATCAGCCGGTGGTGCCGCTTTCACATACAGATTCGCCATTTTATTTCAATAACCCCCAAATCACAAACCTACCCTTTTCTCAGGTCACCCTGTTTCCTTGATTTCTGATCGATCTCTATAAATAATTCAAAGACGCGGCTTCTTTGGGTGTTTATTGGATTTAGGAATACAAAAAGCAAAATCCCAGAAGCCCCCACCAAGAGTTTCCTTTATCTGTGGAAAAGGATGGATATTTATTTTGTTTGAATGGAAAATTGGAAAGCTCTTTCTGAAAAAACAAGTTAGATTGGTTATCTAAACCGATCATTATTACAACAACCAGCCATCTAATATCATGAAACATTTCTGCTTTTGCAAAACCCATATACGACACCGTTTACCTACCTTCCAAGTTCCACAACGCTACGACGCTACTTTAGCTCCAGTGCAGATGTAATTTTCTCCCCTAAATCTCACTTTTTTATTTTTTTCTAATAAATATAAATGATTACAAATTAATATTTATTTAAAAATAATTATTAATAATCTACACGTTTTATGAATTCATCTATTCAAACTAGACCTCAAGAAAGAATATTTTATGCTTAACCATTGAAATCATTCACACTTTAAGGGGAGTATGGTTGGAAAAAAATAACATTATCAAAAGAATAATCTTTTATGAAATTGCATTCACATCCTTGGTTCAAAAAATGTTACTATTGGGAATAATCATTACCTAATAGTAGTATTTTTTGGTTAAATGGTGGGAATGTCATTACCTCCAAATTGTTAGTTATTAGACAATTTCCACCACTTTTGACAAGAATATCTCTAGATTAATGAATTATTTTTATAATGATTCTTTTCAATTCTATTTTATAATTTAATCAAAATTATAAATATAATAATAATATATAAATAGTTTAATTATTAAAATATTAATAAATTTGAATAATTTAAATTATTTTTTAGTTTTAATATTCAACATATTAATTATTTATAATTTTATGAGGTAAAAAAATATGATTGTAAAAATGTATGTATTTAAAACAATCTCCAACTTTAAGTTATTAGAAATATATATTATATATTGGAAAATAATATCTTTGTATACTCTAGATCATAATATTAATTTTTTATTTTTTATTATATTTTATATAAATAAATATGATCCTTATGAAAATTATTTAAAAATATAAGTTTAATATACTAATTATATATTAAATATATTTTTCTCGAATGTTAGATAGTATAACGATTAAAATATTTCTATGAATTTTCATTCAAATATTTATAATTTAATATTAAAGTTTAACTTTAAAAAAAAAACCATATATTACAAAGATAGTTTGGTAAAATATACATTCAAGTAATCTAATATTTCTCCAATTAAACACTGTAATTTTATATTCCTGCTAAACAAACTAAAAAAAGTAATACAACATTCTTATAGTAATATTACATTCCACTAATGTTATTCCCAAATGTAATCTTTCATTACATGAACCAACCGACCCCTTGGTGTAAGGTAACATGAGGACAACACTTCTTTTCTCCACTGGAGTTTTTTTTCTAGTTGAAAATTTTAACTAGTGGGTAATTTCTTCACATTTGTGTTCTTATTTTCTGTCTTTTTCATCTTAACTTTTAGGATAAACTACACTTATTTCGATCACTATCATTAACGATAATTAATGTGATATTAACGACAACTATGTGCTTATTCATGAGGTTCAGATGGAAGTGTCATGCACTTCTTGTCATAGAATCATGATATTAAACAATATTTACGATAGTATGATATGATTTACTGAAAATAATATAAATGTTTCATGTATTAAGAATATTGTATAAATATAAGAATTGTAAATTGATAAACCGTAATTGTACTATTGATGACTTGTTTTAGTCATCTTTAGGAATGAAGATGACAGTATATTCATTATTTTTTTGGTCGAGTACAAGGGTTTAAACTAAACAGCCTATTCTATATCAATGTTCTCCAGTCTAATAATGCGGTGACCCCTTCAGGTGGCTTGTCAAACTCATGCAGATCGTTAGTGAGGGACCATGCAAACTTAGCTAGGGCATCAACTGCCCTATTACCCTCTCTCAGTGTGTTTTATTTTAACTCTCCAATCCCTACGTAAAATTCTATCCATGTGTTGAAGGATCGTTAGGTGGGCTCCTTCGTTTGTTCTGTTCTGTATAATCTTCACTACCTTCTTGTTGTCCGTTTCCGGTATAACATGTTTTTCTCCCATTTTCCAGGCTAGTCAGAGGCTATGCCCGAGAGTTTAGTGATTTAGATCAAACATAGAAATTATGTCCCTAATAATAGGTATTGAAAAATTAGATAGTAAGAACAAGAAAAACTAAATAAATATATTTATAAATGATTTTTTATTGCGTTTAATAAACTATCTAATAATATATTAAATTATAAATAAAAAGCATCAAGAAATTTTAAGAGGACGCATCTTAGATTTTTTTTTGGGTAAGGAAAGGGAATCTAAACAATTAACTACTGTGGGTTTTCTTCATCTTGGAACATCTTGATCACCATTTGCGGTGGTCCGTGGATTATAAGCACGTCGAACTCTCCCGAGATTGCTATCTTTGCCCGTGAGTTTGCTACTTGATTTCCTTCAAGGCGAACTTGGCTGTAGTGGATTAACCATTCTCTTCTCTCGATATTCAGGACGTGGGACATGATAGTCTGTGCACCAATGCTTCTATCCTTGCTGCTGAGTTGTTTATAAGTTTCTACCTCTAGCTTTCGAAATCCTTGGTCCCATGAAGTTATCATTCCAGTGTAGACCCCCCACAGTTCTGCTTCAAGGATGGAGCAAATGTCGATGTATTTGTAGAACCCTACAATCCGTTTCCTGTTATGATCTCTAAGGACTCCTCCACGTGTTGTTTTTCCGTTGGTTGTCTGCCATTCGTCTGTGTAGCCTTTGTACCAATCAGTTGATGGTTTAGTCCAGATAGTCTGCTTCATCTCCTTGTTCATGGATTCTTGGTGTGCTGATTGGTTAGGTCGGATGCTCATCGGTTGGAGTTTACGTACGGCTTCTGTCAACGATAGACCCATTGTCTTCAAGAGGAGAATCAAAAGCAGTTGCATTTCTAGAAAACCAAACGTTCCATAGAACGCTTCAAAAAGTAAATCCAACACCAGATTTTGTACTGCCAATCGAGGAGTCTTCATGTAACCAACAAAGAAGAGTTGGATTAGGACTCAAAGACTAGTCTAAAATAGGGTTTTTTAGTACTATAAATAAACCTTGTAATTACCACACCAGAACACACACGAGTTACACAAAAGGAACGCCAGAAAAATACGAGCAAAGAAAAAGTGATTTTGAGGCTATTGTAAACGATTCGAAGTAATAAAGGTGAAAGCTTTTTACCTTTCGTTTGTTTCTCTTTACTCTTCACTTGCATGCGTTGTTATTCGCGTTTTCTTTGCTTGAGAATCCCAAAGACAAATGTTTTAGTCGATAACCCGGAGGGAGTTTTTCGAAACTTTGATTTCAGATCTACGCTCCCTAGATGTTATTTCGCAAAATCAAATTACATTTTTGGAATGAGGGTGCGAAAATCTATTAAAAAATGAAAACTTTTTTATTTTTACTGGTTTTAATCTTCAATGTTCTTTGACATTTGTCCACTGATTTAGCTTTTATTTCAATTTAATCTCCTACTAATATCATATATGTTTACTTATATTTCCATTATTATTATTATTTATTTCATTTATACTTTATTTTTATATATATATATATATATATATATATATATTACTTTGATTTTCATATTTTTTATAATTTCTTTTATTTCTGTTTTTTAATTTATTACTATTATTTTTTTTATTTTAATACTTATTATTACTATTATTTTTTATACCTTGTTTATAAGTTATTATATATATATATATTCATATAACTAGTATTATTACTATTTATTTTTGTTATTAACGTATATATTTATATTTTTATAATTATCATTATAATTGTTATTACTATTTTACTTTTAACTTACATTTTTTTATTTTTTTCTTTATTTTATGTGATTGTATTTTTTTCATTTATTTTCTATTTTCTTTGTATTTTCCTCATTATTTTATTGTTGTTTTATTTTTATTAGATTCGTTACTTCATTCTTTTTTTCTTGTTTATTTTTACTTTTACTTATTTTATTTTCTTATTTTTTTATCTCATTTTGTTTATTTGTGTTATTTATGTGTTTTATTTGTTTTATTTATTTACTTTCATTGTCTCTTTCCTCTAACGTGTTTCTCGCCTTTTTTAAAAGGGATATTTTCAAATCGAATTAGGATAAGTGATTTTGGATCGTAATTTTACCTTTTGAGTTAAACTTTCAATTTTCTTATTTAATGAGAACTGGAAATTACGTAGTACCAAAAGGGCAGTTCAAGGGTGCTAACCCTTCCTTGACTGTAACTGACTCCCGAATCTGACATATCTCTGGTAAGACGCAGATCAGATAAGAAATAAGGTATCCGATCAACCCACTTTTCGTAAAGTAAATGATCGGTGGCGACTCCTAATTCATTTAATCCATGTCGAAGCCTAATCCGGGGCCCAACAGAAAGACGATTACGATAGTTTGGCGACTCCACTGGGGATAGGTAAGTGAGCCAGGCTAAGGTAATTTCCAGTTTTTTTTTTAATGAAAAGGGTAAGTTTAAATTTTAAGGTAATACTTCGATCCTTTTTTACTTACTTTTGATTATATTTTCGGATAAATAGTTGTACTAATCATTTTCTCATGATTTCAGCCCTTAAAGATTTTTTTATCTAAGGCTCTAAACCCGAGCTTCAACCCCGTTTTAAGTGGGGGTGAAAGAGATGCCTTCCTGTGAATTTATTCATCGTATGGGCCTAGCAAGTAGCCTTCGGGATTCATATACCTTATGCCTTATTGTGAATTTATTCTTCGTATGGGCATAAGGGAATGTGTCCTCTCGAGTTTAACTTAGTTCACACAAGCATGTGATGGGTTTAGGACTAAGGGTCTAGCAAGCCCAAGGGGGCACCGACAAGGAGAAATCGGGTACCATTTTTAAAACCTAAACCGGGAGATTATGGAGAAATAGAGCCTACCCCAAAACCCTATTTCAAACCCTAGGACATTTTTACCCTAACCATGTTTTTTTCCTTCTTACTCTTCTTATTTTTCTTTCATCATTTCTTATTTATTTATGTATTTTAATTTTACTGACTTGTTTGCCTTTGTGTTTGTTTTCTTAACATT